CTGCTGGCACAAGGAGCTGGCAGGAGATATTCCTGTCTGTGACTTAGAGATCCTGGAAGGACCCTATACTTGGCTCTGGCCCCTCTAGCCATGGTCATAGAGCAATCCAGCCCACCCAGGGATCTAGCAGGAGCCAGGCCAATCCATGCCTCCACAGCCAGGACAGCCTCCATTTTTTTTTTTTTTTTAAGATTTTATTTATTTCTGAGAGACACGGGGGGGGGGGGGGCGGGGGAGGGCAGAGACACAGGCAGAGGGAGAAGCAGGCTCCATGCCGGGAACCTGACGTGGGACTCAATCCCGGGTCCCCAGGGTAATGCCCTGGGCTGAAGGCAGCGTTAAACCACTGAGCCATCTGGGCTGCCCAGCCTCTGGCTTTCATTACTATTCCCTCTACCCTACTGCCACCTGGTAAAGGTAATCAAGTTAATTAAGTAATCATTAACAAACACATCTCTATTTTATTATTCCCTTTATTAAAAAAAAAAGGAACTTTTTCACTGAAAGATATCTGGGAAGCCAGTCCATGTATTTCCTAGAGATAATCCTCATTCTTTTTTTTTTTACTGCAATATACTATGTTTTCTTAATTCTAAGACTCACATTCCTTTCTATTTCAGCATTTCAACATCAAACTAGTTTAAAATCAGTGCCAAGTGAATTTACCAGCCACAGGGCAGAGAGGTAAACGTGACAGTTCTGTCTTGGGCAATTCTCTATTCTTTGGCTTCTTAATGCAATTTAAGTACTTGAAAGAACAGTGTCATGAAGCTGAATTTTGCATACTCTGGATTGCTATTCATTGTTGACCATATGCTTAAAATAATTGTGACGCAGTATTGAAACAAAAAGTTGCCATTTATGCAAAAGATTGCCTGTCACAGAGGGACACCTGGGTGGCTCAGTGGTTGAGCGGCTGCCTTTGGCTCAAGCCGTGATCCTGGGGTCCGGGATCGAGTCCCATATCAAGCTCCTTGCGGGAAGCCTGCTTCTGCCTGTTCCTGTGTCTCTGCCTTTCTCGGTGTGTCTCTCATGAATAAATAAAGATTGCCTGTCACACACTAGACAGTGCAATTAAATGTAGTAGACACAGCCAAGCCTCTTGGGAGCAATGACAAATTTCAGGGCAAAGGTTAGTGTGAGCCATTTATACATCAGGAAGTACACAGGCACTAGACATTTATCAGTTAAAAGCTTTCCGTTGACTTGCAAGAGAAGCTTTTATAATTCCAGCTTTAATGAAGAAGAAAAAAAGATCAAATAGAAAATAGAGTTGGAATCCCACCTATTGTTTCTGTTCCTCAAAAGTTTTCATGTAAATCTAAAACTGACAACACTACATACACAGAGGTGCCTGAGTGGCTCAGTTGGTTGAGCGTCTGCCTTCCTCTCAGGTTGTGATCCCAGGGTCCTGGGATTGAGCCCCCATCTGGTTCCCTGCTCAGCAAGGAGTCTGCTTCTTCTGCTGCTGCTCCTCCTGCTGTGCGCATGTGTGCTCCCTCTCTCTCTCTCTCTCAAATAAACAAAATCTTAAAAAAAAAAAAAAAAAAAGGACTACATACACAGGATGCCTGCTTTCAACGCTGCAAGTTGACATTGTACTAGAAAGGCTTGCCAGAACAATTAGGAATGAATGACTGACTGAATGAATAGCATTCAAACTGAAAAGAAGTAAAACTATCTCTATTTACAGATCACATGATCATATATACAAGAGCTGAAAGGCTCCACAAGAAAACTAACAAATTCAGCTGTGTTAGGAAATAAGATGAACACACAAAAATCGGTTGTGTTTCTATACACCAGCAATGAACAATCTGAATGTGAAGTTAAGAAAACAATCCCAGGGGCATCTGGATGGCTCAGTTGGTTAAGCATCTGCCTTTAGCTTAGGTCATGATCCCGGAGTCCTGGAATTGAGCCCAACATCAGGCTCCTTGCTCAGTGGGGAGCCTGCTTCTTTCCTTCTGCCTGTTGCTCCCCCTCCTTGTGCGCTCTCTTTGTCAAATAAATAAAATCTTAAAAAAAAAAATCCCAAAGAGTAAAATACCTATGAATAAAATGAATCAAGGAGGTAAAATACTTGCAAGCTGAAAACCACCATACATGTCTGAAATAAATTAAAGAAGACCTAAACAAATAGAAAGACCTTCTGTGTTCATAAATTTGAAGATTCAATGTTGTAAAGATGATAAAATTGATCTATAGATTAAATGAAATCCCTCTCAAAATTTCAAAGGGGGGCGGCCCGGGTGGCTCAGCGGTTTAGCGCCGCCTTCAGCCCAGGGCCTGATCCTGGAGACCCAGGATCAAGTCCCAAGTCGGGCTCCCTGCATGGAGCCTGCTTCTCCCTCTGCCTGTGTCTCTGCCTCTCGCTTTCTCATGAATAAATAAATAAAAATTAAAAAAAAATTTCAAAGGGGCATATATTGCATAAATGGGCATAAAATTCATATGGAATTACAAGGGATCCCAAAGAGGTAAGACAATTTTGAAGAAGAGGAACCAAATCAAGGACTCCCATTTCCTAAAAAAAAAAAAAAAAAAAAAAAAAAAGGACTCCCATTTCCTGATTTCTGAAACTTACTACAAAACTGCATATCGAACAGCATGATACTAGCCTAAGGATAGATGTATAGACCAATGGAATAGAATCAAGAGCCCAGACTCATAAACTCATACATCTATGGCCAATTGATTTTCAACAAGGGTGCCAAGATCATTCAATGAGGAAAAGAATAGTGTCCTTAACAAATGGTGGTGGGACAACTGGATATCTACATGCGAAAGAATAAAGTTGGACTTACTACATCACACCATATTAACAAAATAACTCCAAAAGGATCAATGACCTAAATATAAGAACTCAAGCCATACAGTTCTTGAAAATATAGGGGTAAATTATGACGACTTCGGATTTGGCAGTGGATTTGTCTCAGATATAACACCAAAAGAAAAAAATAAACTGGACTTCATCAAAATTAAAAACTATTGTACACCAAAAGACATGATCAAGAAAGTGAAAAGAGACACCTACAGAAGAAGATATTTGTTCATCATACATCTAATGAAGGTGTAATATTCAGAATACGCAAAGGTCTCTTACAACTCTTACAACTCTACGAGACATGCTAATTCAAAATGAGGGAGCAGCCCTTCTGCCTTATTGATAAGATTATAAAATGGAGCAACTGTTATGGAAAACAGTGCAGAGTTTCTTCAAAAAGTTAAAAATAGAACTTCCATTTGACCCAGCAACCCTGCTTCTGGGTTTGTATCTGAAAGAATTGAAAGCAGGGGCTTAAATAGATATATGCACATCTATGTTCACAGCAGCATTATTTATGCATTGGTGGTTCAGTGGTAGAGTTCTTGCCTACAATAGCAGCAACATTCACAATAGCTAAGAGGTGGAAGTAACCCAAATATTCATCAACAGATGAATAAACAAAATGTATTTAGATACAATGGAATAATCTTTAGCTTGACAAAGGAAGGCTTCTACATGCTACAACATGGATGAATTTTGAAGACATTATGTTATGTGCAATAAGCCAATCACAAAAAGACAAGTACTATATGATTCCATTTCTATGAATTTGACTACTTGAGATGCTTCATATAAACAAAGTAGAATGGTGGTTACCAAGGGTGGTGTAAGGGGGTGGGTGGTAGGAAGGAGGAGTTAATTCCAGTTTTGCAAGATGAAAAGGTTCTGGGGAATCTGTTTCACAACAATATGATATATGGATATATTTTAAAGGTTTATTTATGAGAAAGACAAAGAGCTCATGTGAGCAAGCGGGAGAGGGGCAGAGAGAGAGAGGGAGAGAGAAAATCTTAAACGGGCTCCACAGTCAGCACAAAGTCCAACATATGGGGCTGGATCTCTGGATCCTGAGATCATGACATGAGCAGAAGAATTCAGAGTCAGACACTTAACCAACTGAGCCACCCAGGCCCCCTGTGATTATATTTAACACTACTGAACTGTATACTTAGAAGCTATTAAGATGGTAAATTTTGTGGGGTTTGCCACAGTAAAAAAACAAAAAAACAAAAACATAAGAAAAACCTGAGGAGTAGTCCTGGATTTTACTCTTTGCCTCACATGACCTCACTACTACTACTTCAGTGAAAACCATTAGAGCTAAAGAAAACATAATTGGGCAAAGTACCTGAATAGTTTCCTATCTCTCCACAGAAGATATACAAAAAGCCAACAGGTACATGAAAAGATGCTTAACCTCATTAGCTATAAGGGAAATGCAAATCAAAACCACAATGAGGCACCACTTCACACCCTGTAGAATGTGGAAAATAATGAAATAAGTACTGGCTAGGATGTTTAATGGGGACAGGGCTTCCCTTTTAGAGCCAGATAGAGGTGGTGGATGCACAACTTTGTCAATGTACCAAATGCCAATGAATTGTTTACTTAAAAATGACTAATTTTGTTATATTAATTTCACCTCATTACAAAAAAGTTTCACAGGTTCTAAATGTCATTTGACCAACATTTTGTACATTAATACCAGATGATCAAACAGGATTTAGTAGACTGTCGCAATTTTGAATGTGAAGCAGGCCTAAACTCAAATCTTTGTGATATTGAAGTGGAAGATGGGATGTAATAATCTTGGAAAGCAAATTATTGTTTACCTGAAATGCAGGAGTTTTTATTCCTTTTAAAAAATAGAGTAAATAAACAATAGACAATCAATGTTCCTTTCTGCAGGACACGGATTGAGAGTGCGGGCTTCAGAGTGGGACCTCCTGGGCTCCTATTCTTGTCTTCCCAGGACTATCAAATATGTTGTGTCTTTCTCATGGCTTGTGTCCTATTGGGAGCTGCATCACTGTGGACTCAAGATTCACTAAAATACATTCACTTAACCTCCCTCTACTGGCTGGTTCCATACTACCGCACTGTAATAGACTAATCATACCTACCAGAGCTGGGGTTAGGATAATTTCACAAATATTTACTGAGCACTTACTTTTATGTGCCACGCACTTTGCTGTGTCCTAAGTGTTCCACAGTGAAGGTCAGACAGCGGCGATGGCCTAACTTCTCTTCTAGTAGAGGGCATAGACCACAAACATCCTGAGGCCGGAGAGCTAGGCTCCTGTCTCCGAGTCGGAGAACGAATCTCCCGGACAGAGGAGAGTGAGTAAAGCAACAGAAGTTGATTAAGCAAGGAGACGGAGAAACGCTCTCAGGAGTGAGAGGGGTCCCCGCAGGGTCGCCAACCTGGGCCCCCACCGACGGTCTTTTATTCAGAGCTGACCAGGGAGTTGTGGCCTTATCATTTTAGTGACGTCTTGGCTTGAGCAAGGACTGGTGGTAACATCTTTAATGGCTTCTTTTTGGGGCCTGGTTTTGTTGGTCACAGGTGGCGGTCATATAAAAGACACTTGGGGCAGGGTGGTCTGGTTTGTTTCCTTACCTCTGGGTTGTGGTGGTTGTTAACACCCCCCGGCCTTTAGGGGATTTCTGTGAGCCGGATCCCGCGGCCCGCCGCCTACACCTAGCCCCGTCTGTCCCTTACTCAAGACCATTTAGGCATCCTGATTAAGTATGAGAAAGGAGAGCAGCGCTATCCCAGAGATAAAAAGGAGGATACGGTCTTAGGTAGCCAGGGGGCCAGGAAGAGCTTTTCTTGGGAGGGACATCTCACCGGAACGGACCTGCATGCTATTAACACGCGGCGACAGGTGAATTTGGGGGGACTTGGAAGGACAGGGGATCGGCAAGTGTTTAACTGCGGTGGGAAATGCTGCGTTTCCAGCAAGGGTGACGTAATTTTGCGTTCTAAGAAGATCCCAGAGGCAAGGCAGGGCCGGGAAGGCCATTTTAGGACGCACGGATGGTGGCCTGGACTTAGGGTAACGGGTTACTGGCCTGCGCAAAAGGGCAGGTGCTGTGCTGGGACAGGAGCGCGAGGGCTGCAGAGCGGCCAGAGGACGGGCGGACAAGCCCCGCCTGCAGGGCGTCCTGCTGCCAACGGCCGGGCCAGCGCAGGGCCAGCTTCAGGCGGTGTCAGGTACAGGACAGGCCGACAGAGCTGAACTCCGGTCCCGCCCTTCTTTCCCGGTACCTGCAAAACCTGCAAAAGCAGACGTCGGGGACCGAGCCGGCCTCCGCCCTGGCTCAGGGGAGCGCCTGACACAGCCACCGGCGGGGAGCCCAACCTTCAGAGGAACACCCGACCGCGACCGCCGGCCCCTCCCGGACCGCCCCACGCTAATTAGCCCCGCCTCCGGAAGTGCCGCCTACCCGCGCTCACTTCCGCTATCCCAGGCTTCCGCTTCTCTCGCGAGAACTAGAAGTGCCTATGAGATGAGGGCTAAGCGGAAGTCGGGTCTCTTTTTCGTGGCGCCTCCGAGGCGGTAGGCCGCTTCAGGATGAAGGTAGGAAGTGGTGGAAGCTTTTGAAATGGGCTAGGGGAGCATGGATCGGGCCCCCCAGGACACTGCCTTGCCGCAGCCCTCGTTCTCCAAAGTCCTAGGTCTAGGTGGGAAGGGGTCTGAGGCGGGAGAAAGCTTGCCGCTTTTGGGTGCAGGGGTCCTTGGGAGAGCGGATGGCGAGCGATTACAGCAGGAGCCGCGCCGGGCAGGGAGCGCCATGGTGGCGTCCTCAGGCCCAGCCCGACAGACGCGGCCCTGCTGCCTCTTTGGCTGCCTGTGGGTCGGACGGGCCGCGGCGGGCCCTTCGCCCCGGAGGCTTTCCGCGAAGCTCGAGGAAAACTTAGCCCGATCTTTCAGTGCGCTGCTTGTGCGCCATTAATGTGCGCACACGCGTTAGCGGATGAAACCGACACGATACGTCAGGGTTTCTGCTCCTTGTCTGGGGTTTACATGAAAGGCTTTGTGCAACGGAATTACCTGTGAGTGGCTCTGCGGTTTTCTAAAACTCTTTCCTTCCCCTTAATCCTTAGCTGAACATCTCTTTCCCAGCTACTGGCTGCCAGAAACTCATTGAAGTGGATGATGAGCGCAAACTGCGTACCTTCTATGAGAAGCGTATGGCCACAGAAGTTGCTGCCGATGCTCTGGGCGAGGAATGGAAGGTTGGTTCCCGAATGAAATAAATGGTCTCGGCTATTTGATAGCGCCGTTGGCCACAGGTGGAGTAGCGGGGTTCGGGCTTCCATCTGGGGCCACTTCCACGTGTCCCTTTAAGGTAGCGCTGTTACCCTGCGGCGTTACGGACCTCAAACGGGAGAAGACCCCTGAAGTTCTGTGGGAAGTGCCAGCAAGGGTGGTTTGTGGGTTGGTTGCTCGATTGTACTTTGGTTTCATAACATAGGTTTTCCCTCGCTGGAACGGTCACGTCTAGTAAAAGAGGTTAGAAATAGGACTTGACTGAATTTGCTGACTGATCTTGGCATGAAAATCTAGACAAAACTGGGTGACCCGAGAAAACTGAAATTCATACTGTTTTTCGCACACCCCCAGGATTTAAGGGCCGTGATCCTTTATTTTACAACGTGTGGTTGTGTCCCACAGGGTTACGTGGTGCGAATTAGTGGTGGCAATGACAAACAAGGCTTCCCCATGAAGCAGGGTGTCTTGACCCATGGCCGCGTCCGCCTGCTGCTGAGTAAGGGGCATTCCTGCTACCGACCCCGGAGGACTGGAGAAAGGAAGCGCAAATCTGTTCGGGGTTGCATTGTGGATGCCAATCTCAGTGTTCTCAATTTGGTTATTGTGAAAAAAGGTGAGGTTTACTTGTGTTCTTGAATTCAATTTTTGTTGACATTGTTTTAAAAGCTGATAATTCAGGGATCCCTGGGTGGCGCAACGGTTTGGCGCCTGCCTTTTGGCCCAGGGCGCGATCCTGGAGACCCCGGATCGAATCCCACGTCGGGCTCCCGGTGCATGGAGCCTGCTTCTCCCTCTGCCTGTGTCTCTGCCCCTCTCTCTCTGTGTGTGACTATCATAAATAAATAAAAAATAAATAAAAAAAACCTGATGATTCAGATGTTTTTCGTTTGCATTATCCACAGTTTCTTTACCACTGCATAAACAGTAATTTAGAGTTTTTGTTTGTAAGAAAGTTGTGGAATTAAAAAGGTCTGATCACTTCCTCTTTTAGGGGAGAAGGATATTCCTGGACTCACGGATACTACTGTGCCTCGTCGCCTGGGGCCCAAAAGAGCCAGCAGAATCCGAAAGCTTTTTAATCTGTCAAAAGAAGACGATGTCCGCCAGTATGTTGTTAGAAAGCCCCTAAACAAAGAAGGTACGAGGATTTTGCTTAATTTCATTTGTAGCATCTTGTATGCATGTTAGTAAATGTATTTATGGGGAGAGGGTCAACACAGGCACTTGTTAAATCTGATGCTTGTCTGCAGTATTACAATTTTACTTGAAGTTTTGTCTGTCTCCTGATGTAGAAGTTTATCTGAAAATAAGTTATCAGAAGTTCATTACTTTTGGGTTAGGAATCGGTAAAATGATAGAAAATTCTGGGGCTATGATTGGAAACCCTCAGTCCCACCACTTTTGCTTTCTTTACATATTAGAGGTTCTGTCTGTTTACAGAAGTAGTGAGTGCTTTCATTGCCTGAAGTTGCTTTTAACTCCTGGCTCTTTTTAATCTGAGCTGTGGATAGGAATTGTAGGAGTTGTGGCTGTTAGAAGAAATACACTTTATTCAGAATACTAGAAGCAGGTGTTTGGGGTTTTGGAGTTTTAATAGTTTTTGAGATGGCATACAGATGCACAGTGTGTTAGAGGACATAACTCCTCACTGGTGAGGCTCTGTAACGTTATTTCTCTAGTAAAGTGTATGCATATTTACTTAGGTTATGTGGAATAAAGAGGATGCCAGTTCAGGTTGGGTTTTCCTGACAAATGTGAAAAAAATTGGTTGGCACTGGGGATTTAAGCCTGGCATATAGCAACTGCTCATGAGTCACTTCAAATACCTGAACTACCTATGTGCAAGGTAGTGTAAGTGTTGATGGTATAGTATAAAAGGACAAGTTACTCTCATGTGGTTTACACTTTAAAAAGAAATGCCAGATACATAGTGGTTGCCCATTGTCAACTCCCCTGGCAAGATCACCAGTATAATAGGTGTTCTAGTTAACAGGTGTGTATAGAATGGTTCTTACATCTTTATAATTAAGGGATGGGTTGACTTTTTAACAAAACCTGAGCAGTTGAGTATTTCGTTTTAGAATATATGCTTGGGCTATGTTTGTTATTCCCACCAGGCATCTATTAAACTCAAAGACTTCTGTTCCAAAGCAGATCTATAATCCATAGAATTTGGGATGTATAGATGACACAGGCTAAATGAAGATACTCTATGAACAATGTGCTCCACGTTCTAACGTTAATGGTTTCATTCCCCAGACTGGCAGGATCTGCCTTGGCAAATACTAGATTTGAGCATAAATAGGATTTCAGAGTGTGGTTAGGATAGTGGTGCAGGTGGAACTTTACTTAGTTTTCATAGATAAGTAATATATGCACAGTTAATACAGTTTTAAAATAATTTCCCTGTATCTTACAGTATAAAAATGTATCTAATTGGGGAAGAGAAATCAAAATTGAATAGGAAAAGAAGCTTGAGGTAGGACTTCAGTCCCCCAAACAGAGTAGCTTAAATTGATGAATGGTCTTGAAGTTGACATCCAAACTAGTGGTGTAGTTTAATGAGGTGTCTTAGGATTAAATGTGCTAATTAGGAAAAGACTGGCACCTAGTAGACAAAGTTAATCTGTTTACTTCAGAAGGACTTACCAGTTTACACTGATAATATTTAGCACATCTTGGCTTTTTGTTAAAGGTAGTATTTCAAGTTAAACAGTGGTTCAGATTTTACTTCAAAGGCCTCACACAGGTAAGTTTTCCTAGATATTCCTGTAATATTAAAAATGTAGATGTAGATCCTAATGAACATTGAGAAGTGACTGAATCATCTGAATTTTCAGGTAAGAAACCTAGAACCAAGGCACCCAAGATTCAGCGTCTTGTTACTCCACGTGTCCTCCAACACAAACGTCGGCGTATTGCTTTGAAGAAACAGCGTACTAAGAAAAATAAGGAAGAGGCTGCAGAATATGCTAAACTTTTGGCCAAGAGAATGAAGGTAAATCAAGAAGATTGAGGGAGGGAGAGTCAGGCCTGACTTTGGATTTTTAACCCAGACAAGCTATAACTGTTTCTTTGTTTGTTTTGTTTGCTTAGGAGGCCAAAGAAAAACGCCAGGAACAGATTGCCAAGAGACGGAGGCTGTCCTCTCTGAGAGCTTCTACCTCTAAGTCTGAGTCCAGTCAAAAATGAGATTTTCTAAGAGTGACAAAATAAATAAGATCAGACACCAAATCTCTTGACTTTTCATTGATGACAAAATAGATAAATGGAGGGTGAGATCATAGTAAAGGGAGTATAGTTGACAGTGATCTGATGGTGGATAAAAAGTATGCAAGAGATAGTTGAAAGTGCTGTCCTTCAAGGTGAGAGGCTGAAACCATATGGTAACACTGGGAGAGATGGGCAGACCAGGGTTTCTTTGAGGATGGGTGAGTGGCTCTGGAAAGGTTTCTCAGCATATAAGGGCGTACCTGTTTTTCAGCAAGGCAAGGAACAGTTTGGGGGAAATGAAGGACTAGAACTATTAATCTGTTGTACACTTTATTTTGAGGAATACAGTTTTAAAGATCTATACACAATACATGAAAAGTGCCCTTAAGAAGGTGGACATTTGTCATAAAAAATACCTTTGTTAAAAGCATATAGTTAATTGATAGCATTTTTATAAACAGTTCACAAAGCTTTTAAAACCAGTGCAAATTTTATTAACAAAAGCTTTTCAACTCTAGTGAATTGTTACTCATGCATTTTATAGTTTCACACTGTGCCTTTACGAAGCACTTGGATCCATGAAGTATGCAAAGGAAGGAATCTACTTTTTCTAATGAAACCTGTCTAGTTCGTAGTAATTGCAGTTGAACTTTTACAGACTAGAAGGCTCTTTAAAGGCACGTTAGGTTTTAAGGGCAAAGAACTGGAGTTTACATTTTAACCACAGGAGTAGGATTTTCAAACTGCTTTAACAGGGACTGAAGCTGTGCTTGGCAATTAAAATGTGTATGAGTCACTTGGGGATCTGACCAAAAATGCAGATAGTGATTCGGAAGATTTGTGGCCCCAGGTTCTACATTAGGTTCCCAGCTGATAGCAATAATGCCAGCTCACAGACTGGACTAGCTGAGAATTGAGAGAAGATGATTAGAAAGGAGATCCCCACATGTACTGAAAAGCTATAGAACATGAAAAATCCTAACTTGCAGTTCTATATAAATTAAGATCAAACTAAAAAGGCTAAAAAGGAAAGTATTTGTAAATGATTACCAAAATAAAAATAAAATACTATAGTGACTTAAAGGCAAGTCTGGTGTATATAGCCCAGAGTCCTGTACTAACCAACACCTGGTTGATTCTAATGCACAAAATATGAGAACCACTACCCTACTTGTATTAGGGAGTGCAGTCACTGAAGGGGACAAAACTACTTTTCAAAAAGATGTACCAAGAATGAAGCAACAATCGAATATCCCACAATTATGGGGAGTCTTACGCTTGCTTAGTTTAAACATGCAGGATGCTATAATTAACCTATAAAATGCAGCTAAAATTAGATTAAAACCAGTATAAATGCTAAGCATCTGGACTTTGACTAGGATTTCTCAGGCTTTTAAGTTTCATACGTTGCTATAGTTGCTATAAGTCATTTTAGACATTTCTAAATCTGTGGATAATGACTGCATATCTGGCTTTTTGGTTTTGTTTGCGGTGAATTTTTAGTGGTCCCCTTTCTGTGGTAGGTGCTAGAAAAGGCCTTTATGCACTTTGAACACAAATCAGTCCCTATTTCTAAAGGAGAGCAGCAGGTTAAGTTTCTAATGTATAATGGCTGAGTTCTTTTAGAATGTTATAAAAAGTTACTAGAAAATGTATACTTTGGTACAGAATAGCCAAATCTTAAGTGAGATCTTTATTACACATCAATAGGAAGTGCTTTGGTAAGTAATTTAGTTCAAGTTAAGTCTACAGAGAAGAAATGGAAAACAATACTGGAACTCTATAAATAACAAAGGTTAGAATCGTACACATTTCAGAAGCCTTAAAAATGTGACAGACAAGCACAGCAAACTTAAGAATTTTCCATTTTATTCAACCTCAAGTTTATATGCAAGGTAATTCCAAACTTTGTTGCGGCAATACGTGTTGAAAGTACCAAGTGTTAAGTTGCAAAAATATATACTCTGAGACAGTGCAAATGATCCACTTTTAAGGTATTGAGAGTTGTACATAATTTCTGACAAGTTATTTCACTTAGCGATTCCATAATAAATTGAAGCAAAATCTGCATAGGTTAGATTAACCCTGAAATGTTGAAAGACTGGTGTGCTAACAATTTTTAAGAGATTACACCAGGTGGGAGATTTGTGCTTGTTAGCTGTACCACCTGGAAATATTTTTATCAACTGATTAGTCATCTGCATGATTACTGTAAAAGCACACATAACCACTGGCTTTTTAAACGATGCAGAGAGTTAAGGCAAACGTTAACTGTTCTTGAGGGCAGTTTTTAAAATGAAAGGCATGATAAATGTCAGGCATGTGAGGTCATGATTTTCTTGAACCTACTGGCAACAAGCTCAATAAGCTTTAACATTTTAAGACTTAATTGATCCATCCTAAAAAAACAGTATTTACAAATGCACAAATAATAAGCATACAAATCTAAATATTATACAAGAATAAAATTTCTGTGTGCAGTGCAAGTTTATCCCACAGGTTTTTAAAAGTGACTAATAGCAACAATTTATGTACCTGAACAATTTCAGGTCCAAAAAATAAACACGAGCGTTTTAAGCATGTTCCAATTTTGTAAATTATGAGGCTGACTTAATTTCATTTAAACTATATGATTGGCTCATTTACTCCAATCTTAAAGCTGTTGCAAATTAACATGATATTGGGAAGAGGATGAAAAGTAACTTGGATATTCAAGATACAATCCACTAGAAAGAGAATACATAATTATGATGGGTGAAGATATAGAGGCAAGGCTGTCATCAGACTTTAATTTTGATTAATGACTACAACTGAGTTTAGTAGTAGTCCTTTAATAGTTGAAGACACCCCTTTCAGAAAATTGTATTGCAACACGCAGTCTAAGAATTTTAATAAATATAATATGGCTGTACATACAAATACCTACACAGCCACACATATATACACACATACACAAATAGTTGCTCTTATAATTGAAATTTCATTTGTTTTGGGGTTAGTCAAGTTTACATTAAACTGCTATTCCCCAAAACCAATAACTTCAAATATAAACAAAATGCCAAGAATGAATATCGTTTCTCATTATCAAACTACACATACTGAGAAATCCAATAACGGTTTTCAAGCAGAGGCAAGTGAAACATTCAGAAGTTGCAAACCTTCAGATGTTAACCCTGGAATATTTTTATGGCATTTTTACGTCGCGAGATGATTGAGTATAAGTTACATTTCATTATATATTGTCCCAAGAGTTAACTTCATTTCACTTTCATCAATTGTTAGCATTTGGAATAAACCTGGATGTCTGCCAACTGAATCTATTCCCTCAAGCTTTGTGTGTTTTAAAATCTGGTGAACATCTTATTTAAATGAGAGGTGCTCCAAAACACTTCCTGCACCATTGCACACTGATACTTGGTGGAGCATCAATATTCTGCAACTTTTCAAGACTCTCTGAAGATAGATTATTGTATGCAAGTCCATATTCATTGTCAAAAGCCTCTGAAAGACATTTTCAAAAATGCAGTTGTAATTTGTTAAACAAAAGCTGTAAACTGAAAAATGGTAATCAAGTAATTTCATATATATCTATAAACTGCATATTTGAAAGTAGAAATCTTTTGAAAGGTTAAGTGCATTTACCCATACCAATTACAATTTTATAAATTACTTCAGAAAATGAACCTCCTTTAGTAATCCTTAATTAACCAACTTACCAATATCAATATTCTCTCTTCCAAGAGATACTAATGATAAGAAGAGGATTTCTCGGTATAAACTCCTATAAAACAAATATTTTTAAAGTTAATAGGCACAGCACATAAAAATACATACATGAAGGTTTTGTAAAATGGTGAAAAATAAAGTCTAGTCAACAGTAATGTGTCCATGTCAGTGTCCTAGTTTTGACAACACTACAGTTAAGAGATGTTATCTTTGGGGGAAGTTGGGTGAAAAATATGCTGAACTCTAGGCTACTGTTGCAACTTACTTTGAATTTCTATTTCAAGTTAAAAAGTTATGGATAAAAAATGTTAGGGATGTAGAGTTTCATACCAAAACCTATTTTAAATGGCTTATTTTAACATTGTTATAATATTTTAAGAACATAAATACAGTTGACCCTTGAACATGGAGTTGAATTTCATGGGTCCAGCCACAGTATTTTTTCCAATACAGCAGAGTACTATAAAGGTGTTTTCTTTAATAGCTCTAAGAATTCATTATATAATACAACATACAAAATGTGTTAACTGTTTATCATATCATTGGTGGGACTTCTGGTCAACAGCTATGAAGTTCTGGGGTAGTCAAAAATTATACATAGATTATCAACTGCACGGAGGGATCATTTAAGGGTCAACTATAATAGGTAACTGTTTTAACTCTACTTTCCAATTAAAATTTGCAAAAGCAGTCACCTCTCATTTGCCACTTGACAAAGTAACAATTTATAAGTGAGTTAGGAGTCTAAACCCTACGGTATAAAAGGTGGTATGGTCTCTTTGCTATTTAACCTAACAATAAACGATGAACTATATTTATTTGGTTTGTGAACATAAAAGTGTCACAAATCAAACCTTAAAGATTAGCTTCTTAGTGGAGTTGTTAAAAATGAAGGAACGCTTAAGAAATGAACTGATTTCAGAAATTAACATAGAAAAAAAATTAGAGTAATGCAGATTCTGATAATGCTTCATATGATCTTTGTGTAGAAGCTTCAGAAGCCAAAACATGTCATTTCTAATTTTCCTTCCCTGCCTTAAAACTACAGATGCTTGAAACTACCTGCTCTTTAGACTGTGAAGGTCGGTCATCTCTATCTTAACTTTTGAGATTACAAAAGGATCCATCCATTTTCATAATCCATGCTCTATCACTCCTGAGGTTATCTTCAAAGATGCCATAACTAAAGAAACTTGTAAAGGACCTGGAAACTTAGTATTTGGTAGAATTTATTATGTCACCTTTTCTGAAGTTTCCACTGGAAA